GGGACGCGCAGCACCCGCCGAGCTCGGGCCCGACCTCGCGTCCAGATGCGGGGGCGGGGCACGCCGCAGTACTTTAGGGCACTTACGTTGTAGCAGCCCTCGACACCCCGGCGCAGGGGCAGGCTTCGGGGACAACGCCTCCACACAGTGGTCGTCAGCCTTAGCCTCTGGCTTCCCAGTTAGATTATTGCCCTGCCCTCCATCTCCTCACGCTTCCCACGCACTGTGTGTGTGTGTGTGTGTGTGTGTGTGTGTGTGTGTGTGTGTGTGTGTGTGTGTGTTGTGGTGTGGGGTGTGTGTGGTGCATGGTGGGTGGTGTGTGGGGTGCGTGATGTGTGTGTGTGTATTGTGTGGGGAGCATGGTGTATGTGGGGTGTGGTGTATGGCGGGGGGGGGGGTTCCTGACCTTCACTTAAGTGATTTATTGACTTAGAGATTGCAGTGATTTTTTTGTTTTTTTCCTTTTTGAGAGGGAAAAAAAAAAATCAAATCGGTGGTATCTTGCACATGGTGGGTGCACAAGAAAGATTAAGTTGACAGGGAAGACCTGAAATAACGGTCGAGGGAAGAGGTTTCCTGTCTCAGCAAGATAGCTATGCCCACTCCTCCCTACACCCCCACCCCGGTAAGTGTCCACAGTTCCAGGGGGTCTCCCAGCTCACTGGTCCAAACAGGGCGTCATTGCTGATAAAGCAGTCCACCGGGACCAGGAGGGAGGGGTTCACACTGTGACTCATGGATGAAAGAAATAATCCCTAGTCATGGCACAGCGTCAGTGCTGTCACCAAGGAACCACGCTCATTTGTTACTTTAAGGCCGTCTCCAAATACCCAACAGTCACCCCTCTAGAAGCGCATGGACTCGCTTCGGGGGGGAAAAAAGGGATTTACAAAAATATTGCATTTACTATCAGGTGCCAAGGATGAGATGCAGAATAAGGTCTCGGAAGTTTAGAGGCACCAGAGATTAGCGTCTGATCTGTCATTGTGGCTTCTGGAAGGTGGGAAACATGGCGTGGGTTTCCAGGATCGGGAAACTTCAATAGAAAGGGGGCTGGGGAGAAGGGTTGACTACCTTGGCTGGAGTGGAAGGGTTTTTGACAGGTTGTATGGGAGACTGTTGGAAAATTATTGTTACTGTAATCCTGTGGAGTTTATGGAACTGTATTCCACAGAAGATGTGCAAACCCTCCCTCCCCCCACCAAAAAAACCAAAACTCATTGCCCTTGGGTTGATTCCGACTCATAGAGACCCTATAAGACAGTGCAGAACTGCCCCATAGGGTTTCCAAGGCTGTAATCTTTAGAGTAAGGAGCCCGGGTGCCCAGTAGTTAAGCACTTGCCTGCTAACCTAAAGGTCAGAGGTTGGAACCCACCAGCCGCTCCGAAGGAGAAAGATGTGGCAGTCTGCTTCCGTAAAGATTTACAGCCTTGGAAACCCTATGGGGCAGATCTACTCTGCCTGTACGGTCACTATGGGTTGGAATCGACTCCACAGCAGTGGATGTTTTGGTAATGTTTGTGGAAGCAGACTGCCACATCTCTCTCCCAGGGAGCAGCTGGTGGGTTCAAAAGGCCAATCTTTTGGTTAGCAACTGAGCGCTTAACTACTGTACCACCAGGGCTCCTCTTTATAGAATACGTGCAGCTTTGGAAAATTCTGAGCAAGAACATGTGACTTAGGTCATGTCTTAAGAAAAATAACCTGGTGGCTAAGAGCCGAAAGGAGGAGACCATGGCACTATTCCAGGCTTGAGCTGTCTTTCAAATGACAGATAGAGGTGACAGTTAAAAAATACAAATACTGATGATGTAAGTTTGGGGATTGTGTGTATTAATTTCCTACCAAGCCATAGAAATGTTAACCCGTTGCCAGCCAGTCAATTCCGACTCATAGTGACCCTATAGGACAGAGCAGAATTGCCCCATAGGGTTTCCAAGGGAAAGGAGCCCTGGTGGCACAGTGGTTAAAGCACTCGGAGGTGGTTCAAACTAACCAGCTGCTCTGGGGGAGAAATAGGTGGCAGTCTGCTTCCATAAAGATTACAGTCTTTTGTGGGGACCATGGTCTCAGAGAACATCTAGCTCAATTGGCATAACACAGTTTATAAAGACAATGTTCTACATTCTACCTTGGTGAGTAGTGTCTGGGGTCTTAAAAGCCTGTGATCAGCCATCTAAGATACTCCACTGGTCTCATCCCTTCGGGAGCAAGGGAGAATGAAGAGAACAGGATACAAGGAAAACATTAGTCCAAAGGACTAATTGTCCACAGCTACCAAGCCCTCCACCGGACTGAGTCCAGTACAGCTAGATGGTGCCCG